ACCGGCTGCTTGGAGGACAGGAAAGAGACACAGACAAACACAGAAGAACTGGTCCAGGACTGGTCCAAATGTCGAGGTGATCGGGCTTTTTCAACAGCTGCTCCAAAGCTATTCGGTCAACTGAGACTGTTGAGTCTTTTAAACCTTTGCTGAAGACCCATCTTTTTCTTTGGCTTTTGATTAAGACTGAGCTGGAGGTTCAGTCAGAGCTTTTTTATATACTACAGTGTGTTTCTGTTAAATTTGTAACTATTTGTTTTGTTTATGATTCAAGTCTTGACTGAAATGTAAAGCACTTTGGTCAGCTTTTGTTGTTTTATTGTGCTATAAATAAATTTGACATTGGTTTAGTTGTAGTTTCCTCTGGAAGAGAGACAAAGAAAACACTTTATTGATTATGAAAGTAATTACAACAAACATGTAGGAGAGAGACTAAAGTCAACAGCAGAGTGAGGAAATGTGACAAAAACATAACTCAGTCATAGAAAAACCAAATAACAATTCCTTCATATGTTTTTGTGAGCCACTACGTTAGGTGCTGTATACCAAGGTTGGTGCTTATTGTGTTTGCACCCTTGGAGGTGAAAGTTTTTAAAAGTTTTGCATATTTTGCCAATTTACATAAATAAAGGTACATTTTAAAAATACACTTATACTCAACAAAAAATACAATACACATGAATGAGTATAAGGCAAGAAAGGTTTTGATGATTGAGCTAAGAATGAAAAAAGTTACAGATAAAAACATATTACACATTACACTAGCGCCACCTATAGGTGGATTCAGCTTTTATTATTACAGTGTACCCTCTTTTTGCTCTAAAACATTCTGTCAAAATCTGACAGTTCAGGCTCATTACTGATTTTTAAAAAAAATCCTTTAAGACAATATAGGCCACGCCCACTTCTTTAATGACCATTAAGTTCAGAGCATGGGACTGAAGGTCTGTGCAAATTTCATCAATATCTAATTTGTCTTTTTTGTGTGAAAAAGTTCTTTGGTTTATTTATTTATTTATTTATTTATTTATTTATTTATTTATTTATTTAATCAGAACAGTGCACATTAATGAACAATCTTATACGTCTGTATCAGTGACGTGCGGTCACTAGAGGCCCATTTCATCATGGAAATAAAAAAACAATATTAAAGACTGTCGATATGGAAGCCCATTCCCGCCACCCTGATAAAAAAAATTAATAAAACTTGTATCTCATAATTATGACTTAGCTATCTCATTATTATGAGATAGTATCTCATTATTCTCATAATTATGAGATAGCTAAGTCATAATTATGAGATACAAGTTTTATAAATTTTTTTATCAGGGTGGCGGGAATGGGCTTCCATAGTCCTATTTATATAATGCTTTGTACTATATAATTATTAGCATAATTGCTAATTTACATCTGTAGCCCTGAGGTAAGAAGACAAAACAACACAAGGTATTCAGAAAAAAAAACACCACAACACAGTGTCTGCTACAACTCAATGATTGTCAAATTTGTTTCATTAATTCAAAATGACTGCTGCAACCCACTCATCCGTCCATTATCTACACCTGCTTCTTTCTCTCTGGGTCATATTCAGCGGTCACTGTGTGAGGGGCAGGTGACCCGGACAGGTGACCCAGACAGGTCGCAAGTCCATTACAGTCCAGAGAGACACAAACAAGAAAACTACCAGTCACTGTCTCACACCTAGAGACAATTTAGACTTACCAATTACCAATTTGCCCAAGTATAACTCACATTTTAAAAATGTACTACTTTTCCTTCTTATCTAGTTCCAGTATTTTGAGTTACATGACTGAATTTGTAACCTTTGAATCTTTGAAGTGTTTTCTTCAAAATTTTCTATAACTTCAAAGAAAAAAATAGGATCCATCCTCCTCCATGGTTCACAAAACCTAGAAAAACTGCAGAAATTCTTAAATTCATGATGCCTGTCCGGTGACATTGGATTAAAAAATGTCTGGCTACAAGATATGTATATTTGTTATCTAATGTCACTTGATGGGCTTCGGCTTCATATAAATAAATTAAAAAAGGAATATTTAGTCCCCACAAATACCCGAAGATGTCATTTACATGTTGAATGTAATCTACATGTACAGTAATCCCAAACAGATTTTGTCTCGTGCTGCAAACCTGGATTAACTTGAGATGTGACAGCTGGCAGCAGGTAGACGATGAGGAGAAGGTGAACGACTGACAGGTGCTTTATCCTGAACATGTGGAATCAGGTACAAATCCAGCCTAAAAGAAACAGCAGAAATATCAGGTTACACAAATGTATTATAAAGATTTATACGTTGTTTAACTACAATATGTTAGGGCCGTTTTCAAGATGAACAAAAGGAGAAAAGTCTTTGCCAAAAAACTCAAATTATGAAATTAATTTCAGGAATTTTCAAGAAAAAAATTAGAGAAATGTGCTGAAATCAAAGGTAGAAAATTTGAAATATATATATATATATATATATATATATAGGAAATTCTCTCATGTAGAAAGTAGTAAATTTGCAAGAAAAATGTTATCAGAAAAAAATTCTGAAGTTTTCATGAGGGTCAAAGGGCAGTTCCACCTACATTTTCACTACCTTAAACCTCTTTAATCTGATAGTTTAAGAAGTAAAGCTCGTAAACACTTGGTATAGTTATGTTTCAAACAAAGGTTTCTTGATCTCTCTCTCTGTTTTCCTCATTTTATTTTTTTCTCTTGTTTTTACAAGCAGGCCTGTGTGTGTGTGTGTCTGTGTGGCCTTGTTTTTCCAACACCGTGGGGACAATTTTCCAGAAAAAGCAGCTCCACGGGTCCAAATTTAGGACCAAGGTGTGAAATGAGTTTAGGTTAGTTTTAGGGTCAGGCGAGGTTAGTTTTAAGATAAATGCTCAGGGTTAGGCTGTAAAATTTCCAAAAGATTGATGGGAGTCAATGACGGTCCCCACGGGGATATACAAACCAGACCTGCGTGTGTATAAATGTGTGTGTAAATGAACAACGCATGAAATTGAAGGAAATTTTAGTCACTAATTAACTAAATTTTAGAGCCAATCCTGTATTTTACACTTTGTGCAGCCATATTAAAGGGAAAAAGAGTCTCTATCAATGTGTTCCATAAAAAAGGTTTGTTCCATTCTAATGTCTGACATAAAAGACACCGCCTTCAGGGGTGTGACCAGGAAGTCAGGATTCAGGTTCAGGTTCTGATAAGACCTGGGGTCGGATTTATAAAACTGGCGTATGCACAATTTGAGCCCAGAAACTTGTGTACACCACTTTTTACACCAAGGTTGTGATT